CTTTTTTTTTGAATAAACATTCTATTAAATGATTTATAGTTATATATGCATAATTTTTTATTTTTAAATATAATTATATTTGATTATGCTAATTGCTTACTTTCAGAGGCTCGCAAGCTTTTGTACCAGAACATTACAATAAGCAGATACGAGAGTCAAAATTGAATACAGTAACAGGAAAAGAAATGAAAAAAGGTAGACAGAAAAAAGCATTGGAATCAGAAGAATTAGTCGAATCTGAAATTGACTTAGATCAAGCTGCAATGGAATTGGCCAAAAAAATGGCTGCTACTAGGCTTGATTTACAGGTTAATTTTTATTTGAATTGGAAATTAGCATTTCTTGATTGATCTAACAACAAACATTATACTGAATCTTAAAATCAGTTTGCCTTGAGATAAGAAAGATTTAAATCGACAAAGCGTCTCAAGCTTAGATCTCTAGATTGATCTAAAAGCTTTTAATCTTTGTAGACAGTTAGAATCTTTTTGCATAATTAGAATACATATATATATATATGCTTATGACAATCAAACAATTCAACTTGAAATTTGTAAATTTAATATCAAATTTGGTAATTGCAATATTTGAGCAATTTTCATTTCAAACTTCGAAATTTAATATAAATAATCAAAATTATATAATCATTTAACTTATTTATTTGTTTAACAATCACAAACTTTACTAAAATTTGACATCACAGCTCATAAAGTTAAATCACAGCTCATAAAGTTAAATTTGCAAGCCATTTTAATTATTTAAGATTTTAGCATTTTAGACTTAAAATTTCACACAAATTAAAGTTGAGATTTTTAAAAACTATCAATGAAACTTTGTAAATTAAGCATATAAAATTTTCTAATTATCCTTACCTTTTGACTGTAGCGGATTGTTCACGTTTATTATTTGTGATTTTAAATTCAAAAAATGGAAAATAATAAATAGTGTTAAATGATTATTAGAATTGTTATATATAACATTTATAGGATTGGAAAGTACCAAATCACGATAAAAATTCAGCAGCTAGCGAAAGATCAATCGAGCAAATGCATGAAAAGTTGGCAGTATTACCAACATTTATTTTAATTACTTATTTGATTATCAAATTATTGAATTAATGATAGGATTGAAAAGGAATTTTAGTACTGATAAAAATTAAAACAATTCTATATAAGACGTAAAAATTTTTTTCTATATTTTCAGTTCATGTGATAAAAATTATTATACCATTATCAATACGTAAAACCGTCATTATTATCATTACTACTATTATTTTTTTGTTTACGTTATTATTATTATTATTATTATAGCTATTATCATTGTTATTGCTACTATTACTTGTCGAATCATAACCTAAATCGTATTAATTTATAAGTAATTATATTATTATTTCAGATCACCACCACCAAAACCAAAAAGGGATGAAATGATGATAGCAGCTACCAAAAAAAGTGTTAAGGACTCACCTCTGTAATTTTTTATGTAATTATAAATTTTAAGTGATAGAAAGATCTATGTTTTAGACAAAAAGTTTTATAAAAACAATAATTATTCATTTTTTATTTTCATAGCAGCTTAGTAATATATGATGCGAAAATGATAGTTGGAACAGTGATCGTTACAATTATTAATTGTGATTATTTTTAATTTCGAATTAGCATTATTTTTAATCGTGAGTTTTTGCTCACGATAGTTATAATTGATTACTTTATAGTTAGTTTTATAAATTAACCATAAAAGTAAGCACTGAAATTAATTTTAATTATTGTGAGCAAAAAATTTAGTCCAATATAGTCTAAATTAAGCAAAGAATAAAAATTTTTCATTTTCTCTCATAATTTTATTCTGAAAAAAGTATTAGAAAGCATTGCTTTTATCAAAAGAAGAAGTAAAAACGAAAATTATAATTTCGATGGGAAAATATAAATATTGAAAATTGCGCCTCAACATTTTATGTCTATTATTAATATACTGTTGGAGACAAGAACCAAATCGTGCTAATTGGGCTGGTTTTGATGATTCTCAAGCACTAGAATTGCCATCTTCTGAATCCAATTTCTTCGCTTGTGCTTCTACAGCCATTGTTTCAACAGATCAAGCCTTCGGTGATCCGCTTGATATTTCTAAAAAACAAAGCGATAACGAAGATTCTTTTCATCCACTAAGTCAAAATGCAAATAATGAGGTTTATTTTCGTTTAAACTGCAACAAATTTATTAGCTATCTAGCTTCATTAAATTTTTACATAGCTGTTCACAGCTATATTAATGTTTGTTAATATAATATTTCAATATAAGTATAAACTGTAATAATGAAGATTAGACTGCTAGTATAAATAAGTATACAAAAACCTATTAGATAATAGACAGCTATTAAATGTAAGTTACTTTCCATAAACTGTAACTAAATATCAGTTTGCTTTTTCAAGCTAAATAAGCTTTCTGAATTAAAGTTTTTGTAAAATTTAAATTAAAGTTAATTAGCTTGCTTTATGTTTGAAATTTAGCACAAATTCCGATAAATTACAAAATAAATTGATATAACTTTTTTGCTCAAACTGATTTAAATATCAAAAATAAGTTATTATTATTTTATAGTAAACATTCAACCGTAATCAAATTAATTTTTTCATAAATAATAGGATTACGATCCATTTGATGTTCCTGCAGCTGATGACTTAGTTCAAGCAGCAAAAGTTCGAGCTGCTCAATTAATTGCTTCTGAGAAAGCTCAAGAAAATGTTGATTTATTTGCTATTAAAATAGACGGTAAGAAAAGCGATGCTAGCTCACCAACTCAAGAAGGTGGAAGTCCAGCGAGTTCTCGACCTGCTGGATTTGAGGATGATTTTCAGCTTGAAGTAAAATTCAATCAATTTAAATCATCAAAAATATTGCTCAGTTCTGATCTACTTGATAATTTATCTAGATATTAGAAAATTCATATCATATTGATTTAGCAGTACTAATTTAAGTCAAAGTTTATTTATTTGTTAATTTTTTTTGAAAAGCGTAGCTAATTATCTTGATTAATTCTGTTAAGTACAATATAATTAACAAAATTAGATTATTGTTAGCTATTATATTCTGTTAGTTATAGCAATGTAATTCTTATTAATTTTAAATTAAATGAAATTTATTCAAAAAATTTAGGATGACGGTTTAAGTACATCCAGTCCACTATATGATGAAGATGATAGTGAACCACTATGTGATTTCCCAGATAAATTTACTGGTGATGGCTGGGAAATGATGATCCGATATCCGATAAAGAAAAAAATTATGGGCGATCGATACTGGAAACCATGTTACGTGAGAATACGTGATAATACACTTTTGTTATTTAATTCAAAAAATGATCAAAAGCCATTCTCGGAAATTGCTCTACAGGTTTTGTTTTTAGTTGCAAACTAATACAATTTGAAAATTTAAATAATTATTTTAAAATTTGTTCTTAATTGCGCTGATTGAAATATTTTTATCTCACATTATTGATAGATATGATGAATTAGTAACAATAAAATTTTTAACCTTTAACCTTACCGTATCCATTGGTTAGTCTTACAGTTCTTATGTTTACTTAGAGAAAGTTGAACAGTTTTTGACCTATTAAACTGAATGAATTTTTCCAAAAGTCTTATTACTTCAAACAAAATTTCAGAAGATTATTTCATAGCAGTTGAAGTACAAAAATATCATTTTAGGCTACCTACTCTTTATCTGATCCAACACTACAAGCATATGATGTTTACGGTAAAATTCATACTGTCAAACTGCAGTATGTACTGTATAAAGAACGAGTTGGCATTAGGCCAGGTAAATTACAGACAATTATTGAAAAGAATTAGCAATGAATTTAACAATAAACAAATACAAAATATTTAATCTTCATCTATGTCTTTTTGCTTAAATTATCATTTATGGTTTATTAGAATATTAAATTTTTGCTGATTGTCTCATCTTTTACTGATATTTTTGAATTACATACTGTAATTAAATTGAAAAACACCAAATATTTAGGACAAATTTCTCGATTAGTAGAAGGTCACGTAACAAAATACGGTTTACCGTTGGAGCATTCAGCACAGTGTACAGTTTTACTCAAGTTTGGCTCATTGAAAGCTGCAGAACTTTCTACTTTTGTAATTACAATAGAAGATATTTTGTTTCGATGTACTACCATAAGAAATAATTCACCAGTATATAAGCAAGATGAAGTTCAGGTATGAATGGTTTGATGATAGATCACGTGCGTGGGATTCTGAAACATAGATCACTGAATTAACTACCAATCACTTTTTAGTGCTTTCAAATTAAGTACAGGACATTTATAAATATAAAACATTAAAACAGATAAAGACCATTTTATAATATAACACTATACTGAAAGGCTCAAATATTTCCATGTTTATCTGAAAATATTTATGCAATTTATCAGATTATGCAATAAATACTTCATTACTAGTCTAAAGTACGGTAATAGTAGGTATTCATTTTTTTAAGATACAAGTTGTCTCTCACAATTCTAAATTAACCGTTCATTTTAATTCGTTTATGTGATTTAGTCCTGTCATTACAGTAAGTTTTGTTCAAAATGTAACAGACCTGATAATTCAGCTCAAATTAAGCAGAAATAACCAAAATTAAAAAATTTATACTTCTTAATCTGATCCCTTATAAGATTCACTGTTACGATGAATACTCGGCCTATGTGGATAAATTCAATATAGTAAGTGATCAGAAGGCTCGTGTCCGCTTATTCTGTCTAGCATTCGTTTCTGGATCTCCGATTCTCGAAATTGGACTTAATGATCGCCGTCGACAAGGAAAAGTTAGTACGAATCAGTCAAATGTCAAAGAAAGCGAAAAATATAAAACTATTATTGCTTTAATATAACGAAGTTGTTGAAAGTATCAGGTAATTAATATTTTGAATCAACCTAGCTTATCTTCAAGAAATATTCTTTATACTGTAGGAAATAGTACGTCGAAAAGATATTTTACCGATGTATACTGAAAGATGGATACGGTTTGAAAATCTCGAATTCCATAACACTGTTGAAAAAGAAGCCTTTGAAAAAGAACAAGTAATTCGACTCTCCCCTCCTGATGGATGTTTTTTCGAAGTAATTTCTGGTTTTTAAGTAATTTTCAGCTTGGTAGCGTTTTAATGTTATTATTATTATTATTCAAAAATGCTTGATAAGCTATGTAAATTTTAGCTTTGAAAATACTTTGATCGTTTTTAATAATAATATTATCATTATACCAATATCATTAATTATAATAATATTAATGTTATTATTAATTAATTAATTAATTAATAATAATAATAACAATATGATGCTAAAATTTTTGTAGTGAAAATATTTGGAGGAATCTTCAAAATAAAGTTTGAGAATAAATTTTAAATACATTATCGTAGTTTAATTAAAAAGGTTCTTGTATTGATGTTATTCTTGTCACGAAGGATTTTTAAATTTTTTAATAATTTTGCATGCAAATATTTTTACTCAATATATTAAATTTAATCTTCTTTGATTATTTTTTATGCAAATGGCAAAAAGTTTAAAATATGATAAAAATAGCTAAATATAATTATGTGAAATAACATCTTTTTTAATCTAAAATACAAACAGGTGATGAGATTTCGAGTACGACCGCCTAAAAATCGCGAAAAACCGTTAACAGTGAAATGCGTAATGAAAATCGCTGGTTCGAAAGTATATTAATTATTCAATTATTTTATATTCAATTCCTATTTCATTTGCGTTCAATCTTTTTAACTTAAAAAGAGATAGTTGTAAAAGTTTTATGAGAAATGGATGTTTAGATTGAAATTCGAATTGAAGCAATAGCTGCAGCACAATCAGAACATCTTAAATGCAGTCGACGACAAATACCTTGTGAAGATATTCAAATTCGATTTCCAGTACCTGAAGCATGGATTTATCTTTTTCGTGAAGAACGACGTTGGGGTGTTGGGTCAGTTCACGCTAAAGTAAAACGACCAGGAAGAGTTAAAGTAACAGATTTCACATATTTTGAAAATTAAAATAGATTTGAATTATTTTCGTTTAAAAAAGTCGTTACAAATTTTAAAAATTTGTACATTATTTTTCTATGCTACGTATAACGTATTTTTACATAGCTTAAAATCAGTGAACAATCAAATACTTTTGATTAAAAATCTAAGCTAAAGCATATAGCATCCCAATATTTGAGATATCCATGGAGTAATTAACAATTCATTTCCTGCGCATTTACTTAATTTGTTTTGCTTTTTTGTTTGCAAGAAACTATTACAAAAGTATCAATTTTTTTATTTTTGCTCAAATTTTTTTTGTTAAACAAAATTGCTACAAAAATTTTTATTTATTTTATGCTAAATATTTAATAATTTTCATTTAAATAACATGTGTACTGTTTCGTGTTTAAAATTCAAAAAAAAATTGGAATTTCAGAATTTAAAAGATCGTTTGATGGGTACGGTACAAAATGTTGAAAATTCATTAATTGAAGCAGCTATTGGTGAAGCTAAATATGAACACTTATATCGAGCATTAGTTTGGCGTATCCCACGTTTGCCAGAAAAATATCATGCAGCTTATAAAGACCATTTATTACGTTGTTGCTTTGAACTTTCATCATTTGATTTAATGCCTGAAACTTTTACTCCTACTTGTGACGTAGAATTTACAATGCCACTTGCAATGATTAGTAATACAGTTGTAAGATCAGTAAGCGTTGAACAACACGAAGACAGTGATCGCGTGGAAAAATTTGTGCGATACGTGGCAAAGTGTACTTATAAAGTTTGTATTTTTTACTTAAAAAACTGGCTACTTTATTTATTTATGAATTTTGGCATTTGATTAATAAATTATTCATTTTTTCATAAAATAAATCGAGATAAAATATAACAATTCTTTTTTCTTTTTTGAATTTGCCAAGTATGAAAAATATTATAATTTACTGTGTACACTAATAGTAATTGTACAAAACTTGTTAAATATTTACAGGTCGAAATAGATTATGTGCAATGTTCTGATCTAAACGTCAATACTATATTAGATCCAACAGTAGTTGATCCCGAAAGTTTGCTAGAAACGGTACCTGAACCTCATGAAGCCATGTTTGACCCAAAACATGTAACTGAGATGCATGGAGGGTAAGAAGCAATTTACAGAATACTCATACTGATTATTTTAATTAATTTAATTGTAATCATAACTGATTAAATTAACTTTATTATTTATTCTATTCTTTTTATTGAGCACGAAAGAAAGCAATTTCAAATAAAAGTTGAAAAGTATCCGTCAATTTCTTTTTCGTTGAAGGAAATAAAAATAAAAAATATTGTAAAACCAATTTATCGACATTTTTATCTCAATTTTTTATTATCTGATTACAGTGATAATCAATTTTGATTAATTTTTAAATTCAGATATAGAATTGATTTCTCTGATGCTGAAATTGGAGCAAATAGACCACAGGATTCTGATTCAAGTAGTGATGATGATGAAAATGATAGCAAAAAGATGCTACCGATGATCCAAATTGATTCAAAAGAATATGGTTATTGATTGGTCACGTATAAAATTTATATAAATTATTACTTATTCGAAAATTCCAAGTAACTCGTAAAATTGTTTATTTTTCTAATATGTGATAATACTGATATGAAGTAAGCTTTAATTTATTTTTATCGCAAAAGTATATGTAAAATTGATTATAAATCAGTATGAATCAAACGTCTTTAGTAGTAATATTTGTTGGATATATGAAATTATTCACTTTCAAAATTAATAAAGTTCGTACTTAAATGTAACTTTTTTAGCACATTCCTGTAATTGGTTCTTTGTGTTTAAAAATTTGCATATTCTTGTTTCCACAGGTTAATAGCTAATAAATATTAGTGTTGATCTCAAGAAATCTCTACTAGAAATGTTATGGATTCTTCACCAGTCTTCCAAAAATGATTTTATTTAAGTACATAAATGAATTACGGTTGCTATTTAAAAATTATTTTGTTTCATGCGATGCTTTAAAAAAAATATCAACAAAATTATTAGCGGTTAATTTTGAATATTTTGGCTTCTCAAAATTAATAACATTTTTATAAATTACATTGCTAAAACAACTACAATTTAATTTTGGTTGAAAGCATTTTTGTAATTAAAATTTCATTTTTTGACTTTTAACGGTCATCATATGGCTATTTACGTGAATTCAAACAATTACTAAGAAACTTAATTTTAACTTAAATACAAAATAATATAAGAAACGTTTTAAATCTTAACGATTTTAGATAAAAATGAATATCCTTCTGTTGTATTTTTCAACATTTGAATATTTGAACACAAAAATTTTGACATAAATTAATTTGAAATCATTTGAATATCAAATTTTTACCAATTAATAGTCAAAAATTATTCGATAGCACGAATGCTTGTTATATCCTTTATATGAATTTAATTGTTTTCTTTTTATTATCATTCAAAAAAGCATAACAGAGTAATTATTATCTGAGAAATTATGTACTAAAATTATCAAATTTTATTGTGCACATTCTCACCTTCTACGATATCCCTTCCTAAGCGTACATTAATCCTTCAAGTAATTTCAAGTTTATCTGTTCTATATGTATGAGATACTGTATACTTCAAGATAATTCAGAAATATCTCATTAATGATCTATTGAAAGATATTTTTATGCATTGCAATGTGTCATATGTTGCTTTTGTAAATACAGTATTACATTCGATTTTACAACACTATGATTTATAGTATTCAATTTTCAAGGAAAATTAACAATTAAAACATCAACGTATACAACAGGTATTTAGATTACTAAGTACTATTATGCTATAAGTACGTAAAACGTGAATATTTTATTAATAATGAAAATATCTCAAAATCGTCTTCTTCTACCAACTTCATTTGCATACAACTTCTTAAGAGCCTTTTCTAGTCGACTCGAAATACTAACTATACTTCTTTCAGACGAATCCAATCGTAGTTGCGCCATTTTCATCTTATTTTGTAAGTTTTCAAGAGTACTTCTGAATATTTGGGCATTCATAGCGTTGGGAGTAGTAACTGTCAATGTAGGTACCTTAAGATTTTGTTATTGAAATTTATGCAAATGATTGAATAATTATATAATGGATGAGAAATATTGTGTCTCAAGAAATTATTTTTATATAAAATAATGATTTTTTATAAAAAATTATCGAGAACTGAGATGTTTTCATGCTAATATGACTAAATTAAGTGCTTGCAATTAATTTAAAATTTTAGCAGTTCATAATATGAGATACGATAACCGTAAGTAGAGTATTTATTATAAATTCAGAATGCAGTTTGAAAGTCATATTCAATTTCTATTTAAAATAACAATACAATTAGTATTTACAAAACTGTGTTCATTTGAAAACATCATTAGTTTTTCTGTGAAATATAAAAAATTGTGATAATTTCATAGTATGCAAAACTCAATAAATTATTACAAAAATTATATTACTGTAAAAATGCTCTAACTTTAGCAATCTTCCTAGTTATTCGTATATTGAAAATAAATAAATATTTTTTTAAGAGATATAATACAATTTCACATTAATAAAAACTTCTAAATTTTGAGAACAAAATCAAAAAACATACCATTTCGCTAAAATTAATTGCTAATGAAAAAAGAACAAGGATAGTCAGAACTCTTGATTTCATACTTTCTAAAAATTGTACAAAACTCAATTTCTTATTTACAAAATTTGAAATCGAAAATAGAAATAGATCATAAATCAAATACAGTTACAACAAAAAAGAATACTGATTTTAATTTTAGATTTGTTATAGTGAATAAAGTATTAAATACTTTTTCTGATAAAATATGGTGAATAAACACAGCAAAAGAATGAAGTTGAAAAGGTTTTGTTGTAATAAAATCTGAAGCATATAGATAAGAATTTGGAAAATGTTTGAAAAATGAAAATTTAAGAAAGTTAGGCGAAAGCGTTTGATTGCTCAAATTTGCATGATTACATAAGCAAACATTGTATATTTGTAAAAGCATAAATTGTATGGAAAATAAAAAAGTTTTTAGCTTCAAAATTAGATCAAACAGCAATTCAAGATGAATAGAAAAAAGAAAGTTACAGATTCTTACTTGCACGATCTTTGCATTCCGGAGAAGCATTGAATAGTTAGTTATAATATTTTTCAAATGTATAAAAGCAATTTCAGGTTAAATTTGTTAATAAATAATAATGAAGATTTAAATTTGCATTATGAACTTATTTGATTTTGATCTTAATTAAAGATTTTCTTTAAAAAAATAAATCCAAATAATTTATTTTTTTAAAAAAATTATTAATTAAGGTCAAAATCAAATAAGTTATGTTTAGAAAAGAGTTACTTCAAACTGTATTTAAAACTTTTATTAATAATTGATGTCAACAATATCCGTTTAAGATAAGCTATTTGAACTTTATTTCATTTAAAAACTTTATTTATTGAAAAAAATTGTAATCCATTATTTCGCCGGTAGTTTTTACCAAACGTAAACTTTGAATAAAAGATACGACGAGAATTTGGTTTTGAGACTAATAAGTATATACTGAAGTAAATACTTTATACTTTTCTAATATATATCGATGAGTAAATTACTTCAAAACATATCCATCTTTTCAAACTTCACAAACTTCATCACAAATAATTAGACAGTACTTAGCTTGAACAATTATTCCAATTTTGTTTATGTGGGTACAATAACTTTTTTTAAATAATAATAAATTCAAAAAAATGAAAGTATTTTACTTTTTCAGTTTAACCTACAAACTTTCTGCTACGTATATCTAACAAATAGCAAAAACAAAGATTTGAATTCGCCACATTTCTACAGACTTCATTTTCACACGAACACATAATTCATTTAATAATGTCAAACATAGAAATAATCCGTAATTTATGTTCAAAAGTTACCAAAATATTATTTTGTGATCTGTTTGCGGAAAATTTTACGTTGCGATATATTTGCGAAAATATTTCTCTCCACATAAGTCACCCTTACATACTACTAAGTTATACTGGAAAGCTAATTTCAAATTTCTTCTAGCAAGGAAGCTTTCTAAAATTGCTACACGCCATTAGCATGTTGCTTGCGATTCTACAATACTTTAACGAAACGATCAAAAGATATATTTGTTCTTTGCTATACAGTGAAACTTTCTTTGCAAATACAAAGGCAAGTAATGAATAACAGTTTGATTTAGAGATCAAGTATCAAACAGTAAAAATCTTCAACAAACACATATGAACATCATTGACATACAACAAATATTATGCGAAATTGGTACTACAGATGAATTTACCGCATAATTTTAGTGCTACAAAACGATACGACGTGGTTCTTACGCGGAACTACTTGCTGCAAAATTAAGTCGAGCTTATTAAGTTAAAAATTTTTATATCTTTGTTCATTTTTAGTGGCAGAAATTTTAAAGAAAAATGCTGAAAAGCGCGTTTTTCTTCTTTATGCATAAAACTATCTAGAAAAAAAAGCACATTTTGAAAAATTGTGTTACATCGTCAACAGTCTTCACATCGATAAAAATCTGTAGATCACATTTGACCTTTGCGAATTCGTATAATAATTCCTCCTTACGCAACAATATATTAGTTAAATTTCTGTTAAAGACAGCATAAAAAAGTAGTCTGAATAAGCACTGAAGTGTAATCATAGACATTCATGAAATTTTATTCATCACGTGTGCTTCTTACCATATTTCACACTTTAATCTTTATCACAACCAAGTGTT